GGAGAGAGAGAGAGAGAGAGAGAGAGAGAGAGAGAGAGAGAGAGTGAGAAAGAGTAAGAGAGAAAGAGACTAAAAGTCAATGGTGAAAGAGCAGTTTTGACAAATCAATCTAGACGTACGATTTTTGCCTCGCATTCAATTAGTCCTAGTCCCAAGTTCGAAACCCGACAGCTACAAAACTACAAAAAAAATTCTGCCCTTAAAATATTCACCTTTCACCTCCTTTTTGCACTCTATTCATGTTCTGTTTTCTCCTTGTATCTCCACATTTTGCCCCCCCCCCCCCAAAGGCCCCGGCTTCCTCTTGGCTCCTCTCTCTTTTACTCATGGCTGTTTCTACTGAAACCCCTGGCTCCTTCTTAATGCTATCTTTCAGCCATACCCCTGATCTTAGGGTAGATACGATCGAACACCTACCCTTCTCGGATAAGGGCGAACAATCTGTGAGGTCCTGTGTGCAAGTTGAGCTCGTTAAAGATATTATCATGGTTAACTGATATCAAGAAGAGTAGGCTTCAGTGGCCACCCGAGCAAAATTCGAAATTAATTCTTACAAAAAGTGAAACTGAAAATATTTTTAGTCAGTTAAAAAAATATTAAGCACCATCGAAATCAGAATGTGGCTGCTCGGAGGCAAGTTGCCCTATTAAGTAGGGAAAACGATTGCATTCATAAAAATCGGTTACACTGCGAGTTGAAGAACCAGCGGTCGACTACCTCTGAGATCTAGATTAGCAAGGGAACGCGAAGAAGAAAAACAGCAAATCAGAACATACTTTTTCCATGATCTTTTCCAAAGAGTTGTGACTATTATACGCGACTCCGCGGAGATTTCGTGATTAGTTTTTCCGCTTGTCTACAGTCATAATAATTATAATTATGATAGCATACGCGTGGGTAATGAGCTCTTGTTTACCATCATAGTGCTGAAGGTCGGAGCAGTAATAAGAAACACGAAGGGGCGGGGGGGGGGGGGGGTAAGGTGCAGCATTATTGACGTGAGTAGCTTGGGACAGCGACACACCGCTGAGCGATGTTAACGGATTTCCTTCCCCGAAAGAAGAGCTGGGCTGCTGCTAGGGATGGGTAAGCTTTTAACTTGAAGTTTTAAGTATTTTGATATACCAATCATTTTGGTATAAGCAAAGGCTGCAAGACAGCGGCAATGTAGGGACCGTTGCAAACTGAAAGGCTAGAGGGTCGGTAGGGGATTTGAGGGGCAGGACAGGAGATAATGGGTGTGGGTTTTTGATTAGTTTGTATGTTTTATTTTTTATTTTGTTTTTAGATGTGTGTATTTTTTAATACAGCCTTACATCACTTTAAAAGGATGATTATTTCTAACGCAACACAAGCTTCATAGTAATGCAACAGATGAGATGCCCTTTTTAGGAAGTGTGTTTTCAGAACTTAAATATTTCACCAAAGGGCGTGTCACTGCAAAGGCCTTCTCCATTTCTATCCCTTTGACTTTGGTAGTTCTGCATGTATTGCTGTCTTTATACATTCTGAAACGTTACAACTGCAGCTGCAGTGGGCCTCGTGATTTACACTGAAGGAATGGTGCTAGAATATAATGATGATGATGATGATGGTAATGATGATGATGATGATGATGATGATGATGATGATGATGATGATGATGATGATGATGATGATGATGATGATGATGATGATGATGCTCCCCCTTTCTATAAATTCAAAACTCACAGTGTATTCTTTCGCAATGTCTTCCTCTGTTGGCCACAGCACAGCATTGGGCCCGCAGTCGCTGTTGTTGTTGCTTCTGTTACTGTTCACGGTGTTGCTGTTACTGCCGTTGCTGCTGCTGTTGCTGTTGCTGTTGCTGTCCGCAGTGATGCTGTTGTTGTTGCTGTTATTGTTCACGGTATTACTGCTGTTGCTGCTGCTGTTGTTTGCCAAGGATTCGCTGTTGTTTGTCAAGGATTCAATGTTGTTTATGATCGGGGCAGGAACAATTGTGAACCGGCAACGCCACGCCTCTTTGGCCAGACAGTGAAGGAAAATGTACTCTTCCTAAGATGGAGAGAATAATAATAATTGTTGTTGTTGTTTTTGTTGTTGTTGTTGTTGTTGTTGTTGTTGTTGTTGTTGTTGGGGCTGGTGGTGTTGGTGTTGGTCTTGCTGTTGTTGTTGTTAGTGGTGGTGTTGGTGTTGTTGATGTTATTGTTGTTGCTGTTGTTGTTGTTGGTGGGGGTGTTATTGTTGTTGTTGGTGGTGGTGTTATTGTTGTTGTTGTT